TGTAAAAAAATAGTCGGGATCCCAGGCGGGATCCCACCTGGGATTCCAGGTGGGATCCCAGGTGGGATCCTGGGATCACAGGCGGGATCAATACATCCCACCTGGGATCATCCATCCCTACCCAGGATCGCAGGCAGGATTACTACATGCCATCCGGGATCACACATTCCCACCTGGATCTTTAGTGGGATTTACACATCCCACTCAAGATCTTTTGATGGATTCATGCTTGCTACCTGCAATCATATGGATAATTTCACATGTACCACAATTGTGATTTTAGCTGATTCATTTCTACTTGGAAGTCTGGAATGTAAGAAAATAAATTTTTTACAGCCATGCAGGTTGGGGGTGTTTGACATCATGTGGTGCAGTGACATAAATTCTTACACTACTTTTATACCCATGGTGTAGTGTTAAAAACATGGAATTTTATATCTTTCTGTTGCTCAATTTAATTTCGAACGGCAACTTATTTTACAGAGTGAATTTTTTTTTATTTTAACAAATAGCATATCATTATTCATTGTCAATGTGTTATTTATAAAAATAAATTTCAACAAAAAAAGCACATTGTAGTTTATATTCTATACAAACATTGATATTACAAGAATAAGTCAGTCATGCTCCACCATATTTGGGAATGTGCTAATTGTTAGCTCATTATTTTCATGAGAGCTTCTGACCACTATGCATTTCCTTTTAACGTTACAAAGTGGCATACAAAATAAATACTTTGACCTTCTGGTCACTGCCATATGACTGAGTAAAACACCTGATTCAGAAAATCTATTTAATGATTCTGAGGAAGATTTGGTGTCTGAGGTCAGGGATCCACTTGGGGCTAGCTTTGTTACTACTGCAACATGGTGGTTTTGAATAACTAAAAACCTCTGAATTTCCCCAAACTGAGTTTTTCCACTGGCATCCTCATACTGAATGGTATAAGAGTCCTTTAGTTTAGACTTTGCCATTTTTGCGGAGCTGAAGATTGAACCATTTGCAACTCCTCTCCTGAACACCTCCACTTTATCGGTTGGACCAATAATTGGCAATCCTCTGCAGCACAGAAACCTGTTAACTGCCATCAACTCTTGCCTGACTAACATTTCTTTCTTGGAAACACCCAGGACAAATGCATCACCAACACCTGAAGACTTGGGTCTGTATGAAGAAAATGTAATTTCCAAAAAATAATTATTGTCCTGCTTGATAAAAGTATTTTCTAAAATACTTCATGTAATAAAATTAATAGTATACAACAAAATAGTATAATGTGTAAAACCGTGACCATAATACTTAATTCACATGCTCCCCTAACACAAAGTAATTACCTGTTTTGGCTTAAATTTACCCTTCATTCATTACCATATTACCATACACCAAAACAAAGAAAAATACCATATATACCAAGTGTAATAGAACCACAACATACATGTACAGTCAAACATGCCAGGAAACTATCTGAGAGCCACAAGTGAATATATGATCTGGATTTTAGTAAGTAGATAGCTATATATACCCTTGAATTCTAATTAGATACATGAGGTCTATTTTTTTAAAAAAGTACTATTATTCAAAGAAGTAAATTGTGTTAAAATTATTTATAAGGAGGTAAGTAAAGTACTGTCCTGAATTGATCTCTGGATGTAACACTTACAAGGATTTTTCTCCAGAAAGATGCTTGGCCAGTGATATTACCAGCTGCGAGTTAACTGATGGTTTCATCTTAGCAACGAGGTTAGGAAAATTCCGAAATATTGAGACAGCTGAGGCAATCTGGAAATGCGAAGCAAAAAATAAATTATATAATAGTATAATCATTTTTCCCAATCATTCCGACCTGGAACACAGTTAACCTATCTGAGGCTTCAAAAAGTTTGGAAGTAGGTTTCAGCAACTTTGAAGAGTAGGCGACCCTATGATTATGATTATCATGGTAATTATTAACACCAAACAATAGCAAATATACCTAGAGAGAATGGGGTGTGAAAGGTGAAAGAAACAGAACCTACATGTGTATCGTTCATTAAAAATGCAATGAAAATGGAAAGAGTTCACAAATTTAATTTTCCTGCATTATTGGAATCTTGTTTTTCATGTCTACCTGGTGCGAAATATGCTGAGTGCCATGAATCATTGTGGTTAAAAACCCATTAAGAGCTTCAAAGCCAAAGCAGGAATAAACCCAAAGGGGACCAAACAGACGTACAAAATGAGTCAGATGGCGAAGAAGATGGATGTTATGGGTTTGACTGTCCTCTCCTATAAGTGGAAACAAATGAAAATTCAGTATCCTCACTAAAACAGTGTTTTACCAGTGATAATTTTTTGTTTATCTGGAAAGGTCCTTTTTTCACAAAGTCC